ATGTCTGTCGAAACCGCGTGACCGAGAGAGGCAGGCCGGGATGATTCCTTTTGGCTGATGGACATGACCCTTGGCACATCCGTATCGAGCACAATGTATCGTCTCTTTGAGAACGACATCCATCTTACGGCCCTTAGACGTGCGTGCAGCTGCTGCGCGTGTGGTCGCAGCTGCTGACATCTCTGTGAGGGTCGGCCGATGCCCGGTGACCGCCACGTCCGACCAAGCCGGTAACACGGCCCTCGGCCGGGGTTTGCCGCAGATGGCGCCGGCGTGCGTGCGTGTCTAGCTCCTGTTCGTTCGGCTGCCAGCCGTCGGGCGGCGCTGGTGGCGTCAGCTGCGGCTGTCCCCAGGGCTACCAGAGCTTCGGACAGGTCAGTAGAATGTTTGGCGATAGGTAGCTAGGCATTTTGCTGTTGGACATGCTGTATTTTACCGTTATTCAGCTTTGAAAACTATGTTTCGGTATGTCGGTTTAGTAAGCTACGTTATATGATAAAGCGGCTTCGCTGGGTTAGTCGAAGGTGAGGGTAATTTCTACTCGAAGCGCCTGGTTCTGTTTTCCATGAATCACACTTCGTATCGGATCATCTGTGACATCCTCGATCGCAGCTGGGACTTGAGGAATGTCCTAGTAATGCTCCTTGTCTCGCGCCATAAATCATTCGCACTCACATCCGTATTTTACTGAAATGAATCCCATGCCATGCACACAGTCTAACTCCTTACGCCTGTAATAAGATATGATGACTTCTGCAGGGCCTGACGTGTCGATTTGCTCCAACAGGGCCGCTGTATACCGACCATCAGGGGTCTAACGTGTCCATTTGCTCCTACAGGGCCACTGTATATCGACCATCAGTCCGGCTGGTGGCGGCTGGAGCTCGCAGCAGACCTCCTACAGTAGCTACCAGCAGTTCAACACTCAGACCGATACCAGCAACGTGATCAGCACCGAGGGCTGCTTCTCCTGCAAGGTCAGCAGCGATGCCAGCCGGAGCCTGGCCCGGTCAGCAATCAAGAGTCGGTGGATGATAGATACCAAAGATGGCTAGTACATTGCAGTCGGACGCTAACTTTCAGCTAACAATGAAGATGGCCGTGGATGTTCACTGTAATGCAATCTCTCACGCACGTAACAGGCAGGCCATGAGACCAGCATGGAGACAAGGAGAACGACAATGTGGAAAAGTGGGAACACGATAGCGCTGTAGAAGGCCACGCCTGCGGTTGTGTGATATGAGTTCTCTTCCTCGCCTCCCTGTGACCCCGCTCGGTGTACTGACCCGCCCACCCCTCCTCTCAGATAAACGGCAGGAGCCTGCGCGGCCCTTCCTCACCTCCCCCTGACCCCGCTCGGTGTATTGACCCGCCCACCCCTCCACTCAGATCAACGTCAAGAGCCCACGCGGCTCTCACTCGCTTCCCACTGTCCCCGCTCGGTGTAGTGACACACCCACCTCTCCACTCAGATCAACGGCAAGAGCCCACGCGGCAAACGCAGCGCGCCATCGCTGGACGTGGTGCGTCAGCTGCTCCGACTCAACGGTACCTACGACAGCGCAGAGCTGAACGAGGTAAGTGGCCAGTGAGGTGGTGTGGGGCAGCCAGCTCCTTAACGGGCCCGCGGCCGCCGGCGACCCATTGCGGGATTGGGTGTCGTGTAGCAGTACAGAAAACGAGTTACTGCGGTTTCGATTTGAGTGTTTTGTCAGCTTGTCTGCTCTTGTGATCTGCAGCGTGCTGGTTTGTTTTGCAGATGGACGTGGGTGCCGATCATCAAAAGAGTCACCACCACAGCAAGCACCATCACAAGAAGCATCACCACAAGAAGCATTCCGGAAAGCGCGTGAAGCTGCGCTCGAGGCCCGAAGATGGTCAGGATGCCCTCCTGATTCAGATTCAGCTTAGCCAGACGAGAAAGAAGACGAAGATCATCCGACTGCAGCCCGCTCTTAAGTACCTCCAGGTCAGCTGTGGTTCTTCGTCTTTATCCGATATTATTTTCAGGTGATGCGATGCACTTTTATATTTAAACTCTTTAAGTGAAGAAATCTGCTGAGCCTGTGTCTTCTTACGATTAGTATCTCCTCTTAACTTCTTGTTTCTTGTCCTATGAAATAAGCACATGAGAACATTCTCCGCGCGTTGTTTCTTATCTCATAATATAGGTCCGGTACTAGTTCGTACGCATCTATCAGCAGCAAACACGTGTCTTTCAGCCAGTAAGGGTCACAGGACTAGTCGCAATAAACGACATTTATTTTTAACGCTGCTAATAAATGTTTAACCCTGTTTCTAACGCTGTTAATGGAGGCGATCCACGCCCACCGATCGCCCACGCCCGCCCACCATGGAGGCGATCCACGCGTCACGTGTGCTCTGTTCCGCAGCACAACGTCCACTACTCGATCGCTTCGGGCAACGAAGCGGGCCGTTTCCTGCTGCTGACGCGCAACGACATCACATCGCTGCACTTCGTGCACAGGCAGCAGAAGCCCGGCCAGTACGACCTGGTGCTGACCGGCAACCCCATCCACCGGGTCACGGGTCACCAGGACGCGGCGCCGTTCCGCCTGCCCGTCCGGATCTTGGTAGTGGAGTAGACGCGGAGGCGACAGTGACGCCGCCTTTAGCGACGACCGTGACGTCCTCTTGAGCGGTGTGGTGCTGCCATCTAGCGGCCGCTGCCGGCGCGGTTCACACCGCGCGGCGCGCCAGGCTGGGCCGCAGGCCAGCCGCCGGTGGGAGTTTGCGTGCATGTGTCTGTGTGTCCGCGTGTGCGGTGATGGTTAATGGAGTCTGCACGTGTGTCTGTCCGCGCTCACAGCATGCCGGAGGGAGTTTGTCGCGCAAGTCGGAGTGCAAACGTCCTCATGTACGTCCGTTCACGTTGGGCGAACGGGTCTGGTGAGCGTGCGTGTCGGAATAGGTATCTGCGTGCGTTAGTAAGCATCGGTGAGCCATACATCAGAGCTCGCGAGTGTCTGTGTTCCAGGTCCGATGTCAGTGTGCTGAAGAGAGACTGAATGTGCGTGACAATATAAAGCTCGATTCCACTGCCAGTATAGAACAGTGCCATAGAGCGCTTGACTCCACTGTAACTTGCCATATGCTTTCTTATGCGGCACGAACTGTAACATCACGTCTTATGAGAACATTCAGGGCAGCAAGTGTGGTCTTGAAGCCTAACGAATCCCGCGACGTGCCTTCGACCGTGTGAGATAGTTGGCGGTGTTTGGTCGCTATAGTGCTGTTTAAACGCGACATGCTGTCAAGAGCGTGGTGTGCTTAGAGAACGGATTGACATCCAGCTGGGCTGATGACCTGTGCAGTATCGACCACGCCAAATGTTCGCGAAGCCCCAGTGTTGCGTGTAGATACGCTTCGCAACAGGTCCCGCTAGGGCATTGTGAGATGGGCAGAATGACGTCATTTAATCCTTCTCATGGCCTGATGTGGACCTTCAAGTGACGTAGGCCATGTTGACGGATAGACTATAATTACTTATGTTGCAGTCCTTATCGACGCAACTATCGGCTTTTAACCATAGCAGAATCCTGGAACTGTTACTAATATACTTTGTTTTAAATGCCCGTGGTTTTATATGCCCGTTAAAATGTCCGTGGCGCGTGGTTTGAAGCAGATGACCTGCTTCAAAATTCTCAAATTCACCTAAGAACCGCGGCTAACATACTGGGGCATGCATCTGGGTGCAGCGCGGCACCTCTGCCGGCGGCGCTGGCAGCCGTCTGCGACCTCTGTTCGACGGGCCGGCTGAGCTGAGGCGTGGCGTCTTGCGGTCCGGCATGAGCCGACGTAGCCGAATCGGAGCCTCGACACACCTCACAGGAGGGGGGGGGGGGGGGGAGGGGGGGGGGGAAACTGGCGCCACGTGACGGCGGGCCACTGTTCCGGCGGCCTCCTCAGACGTCGGACGGCCGCGGCGGGCGCCACTCGGCCTCGACAGGAGTCGGCGCTGCGTCCCTCAGCAAATCCTGTCACCAGGCTCGGCAGGGAGCACCATGGACCGCTCGGAGGCCAGGTCTGTCCAACAGAGCCGGTGTGGGGTGCCGCCCTGGGCTCGGGCGGGGCAGGGCACAGGCGATCCTGGGGCTGGGTGAACCTGTGAGGCTGCCCCCGCAGCTGCAGTTAATCAGCCACTGTGACAGCCTGTTTGTCATTGTGTCCATCTCCTTCACTATCTCTTGTCGTGCTTGTAGTGAACAACGACATGGCGTATTCTTCACTGATCGTGCTGTTTCTAATGCTAGCGGAAGCTTGTTGCTATTGCCGGTTGCTGCGGAACTCCGTAGCCATTAAAAAACTATCGTACGAAGCTTTAAGTCAAACTGCTAAGTACTACTACTCATCCCTAACTGGGCTGTGTTAAGGTTAAAGCCCAACAGATTGTAACATGTTAAAAAAGAAAACTCCGGATGGAACGAAAGATACTGCAGGAATAAGAAAGGCAAGTCGCAACGTCCGAAGTAAGAAAGAAACAATGTTTTGCAAGCTATCCTTTGAAATAACACGGATATTTTGGGTTCGCCTACATATACCTGAACTATCAACACAACAAAGTCCAGTGCAAATGGATATGTCGTAGATGACGAACTCCGTAGATGTAGATTCGGATGCATGACGTTGGGCCGCAGGGTCCAAATTCGTGTCTGAGTGTGTTATGCGTTATGAAAACATTGTCCCGATGCCGTTATTGGCATTTAATGTATGCCAGGAGAAACAGTCGCAAGGGAAAGCAGATCAGTTGGTCACGCAAGCGAATGCCAGTCCTTCATTTCGCTTTGGAAACTCAGAAAGTGAAGGTTTTTCGGGTAATGTGAAGCCATGGTTTCTGCATGGAATGAGCAATGTGTTAGATACGAATTTAGGAGAAAAATTTTTAGCGTGCGGGTGTGGGTAAACGTTTAAAAAATGCTGGGTAGATATTCCAAAAAAATCAGTATAATATTATTTGTGCTTCTTTCAGCCATGCCTAGCTTTATTCACGCTACCTTGCAATTATCGACGCATAGCGTATGTTTTGCGTGTAAACTTTCCTGAAACTCTTGCCGAGTACAGTGCTAAAAGAATACAAACTGGTTGGTAGCGAATGGTTACAGCTAATCGGTAATGAACAACAGGTGGGTATGGCATGAGCAAAGCTCCATGGGTAGCCAATGAAATGGGCAAACGAAAGCCTAAATAAAGCCTTGTGAAAGCCTCTGCAAGAAAGCATCTGTCTTGTGACGTTTCATTATAGTCATAAACTGGAAATACTTTATTATTACACAAAGCGACGGGGTTGCAGGCACGTTTTAGAAGGCTTCCATTGGGTATTGGGTATTTAAATCGGGTGGTCTCGACGCCTGAGCAGCACTACCCAGCCACCGCAGGAGTGACGCAGCCCAGGAGAAAGCGCGACGCTGCAAAGTGGGGCTCCACCTTATGACATTGCCTGCCACGCTCACATGGTTGGTAAAATGGTTGGTTTTGTTCAGATGGGGCTACTTTTCGCTGGGATAAGGGAATCAAAGCCTTCGCAGGCAGGCGGGCTACGTTTAGTGCAATCCTCAAGCCCTAAAAGTCCAACCTACGAAACGTCCACCGTCTTCCAAAAATTGGTGGAACACGATTGTTTATGTTCCGGAGGCCTGCACCAGTGTCGTCAATTTGAATTGAAAAATCCAAACAGCAGTGGGATAATGCGTAAACTTTTCATGAGATAATACAGTAGTAATAACCAGATTCCTCGTAGGAAAACCAGGAGAAGGGAAATGCAGAAACGCTGATAGTTCGACAGCACCTTTATCGGAACGAACAACAGCATTCGTCTTAATTAAGGCATATTAGTGAAATATCAACGCTTCCATATTTCCATTCTCCCGGTTTTTCTACGGGTAACAAGGCTTTTACCGTATTTTCTACGTGCATAATGCTCTTTGCGATGCATTTAACAACTTACATAATGTCTCATGAGTGTAAAAGCCGTAAGAAAGTACAATTTTCTTCTACCAATTTTTGTGCGCAAGGGCGGCAGCTCATATCTCATCGGACTTTAAAGGGACCTCATTATCCCGATTATCCATCACCCCATTACTCCATCACCTCCTTAGGATACCCGATAATCACACAGTCATTACGCCCCAAAATCAATGCTTCCGGGATGTGGTTACAACTGCTGGACTGGAATGAGGCCGCCGAAGAGGATGGCGCTTCCCTAAGTAAAAAGTGACAACGGCTAAGACAACGTTAAAATGACGGGACAACACTTATTACAAGTAGGCCCGATTCATGACTCGTCGAAGTCTTAGCTACGTTAAACTGAAGTGTTTAATTGCTTCAACATTGAGACATAGTGTTCAACTAGAGTTGCCTAAACTACAGCTTTAAACAACAACGTTCCAACACACCCAAAGACCTGCTCCTATCCAAGACGGCGATATGTTCATGCGCGGGACATGCTTGACCAGAACACAGGGCCAGATGACCGACCTTAGGAGAATGCTGCTTTCCCTTCCTTGTTCTCTGACGTTGACTTCAGGAGCGACAAGTTGCATACAAATGGACTTAAACACATATATCGCCATGTCTGTCTGTCCACCCAAGGAGCCGCCTGCCATTGCGAAGCTGCGTAATCGAGAGGGGTCAGGGCGCACATTTTCGCCAATACGTCCATTTCGTAGGTTACAAATCGGCATAAACCTATTTCTGCACATCTATACAATGCCTAGACGGAGAGCAAAAAAGCCATGTAATTTAAAGCCGTGAGCCATAAAAGCCATTGTCATGTAGTGCATATAATATGCATACAGGAAAAATATATATAGGATCTGGGACATTGGTTCTGGACCCTGGACATTGGACCTGGACCCTTGGTTGCTATTAATCAACCGTGCACATTCCCATTTTATGTCATGGCTTTCGACGTCTTGATTTCTGATGACTTACATGAGTGAGGCTCTCAAGGACAAGAGCGGATATCTCATCTCCAAAAATGATTCGACGGACACTGGCTGTACATCAGGATCTGGCTCCTGTATATCAGTGTGCGCTCACCAGACACACCAGCCGTGTCGCCACTGTGCGGTGGCGCACCCGTCCCTGCCTCGCGCCCGGCCGTAGCTGTGACGCCTCCAAGGCTCGGCGCGTCATGCGCTACCCCACCGCCGACGCATCAGAGCGACACGGTAGGGGCCGCGGCGCAGCGCCATCCGACGACGCGGCTCCACACGACGTCAGCCGTGTCACGTGACAGGCCATTCATGCGGCCGAGACGTCCCCTGGCCGAGGCCTGCAGTCGCTGCTGACGCAGGCGCCGGTGCACCGCTCCCGCAGCTGAGGCGTGGGCGGCTCGGGGCCAGCGCGGCGAGGCGGTGGCGGCGCACTGCTCCGCTGCTGGGGCGTGGGCGGCTCGGGGTCAGCGGTCGGGGTACGGCGGCGTCAGCCGCGCCCAGCGCGGCTGACTTCCATTGTTTCGCCCGCCAGATTAGGATGGTGCGTCTGTCAGCTGTGGTTCGAGCTGGCGCTGATGCAATGAATGACAATGGATTTGGTGCAGATAGCCTGATAGCCATGTGTGCTATGCATTGGTGTTCGACATCGTGGCAGCGGAAACCGACTCTGTGGTACTACTCGCGGCAGGCAAAACCCATTCCGCCTCTCCGGTCTTGCACTGCACCGCGAACTTTGACATGACCGCAATTTAGACGCAAAAAAAGGAACGAAATTTCGAACGAATTTGCATGCGAATAATTCCACATGGAGTTTTCGGGTAGTCAGCCGGATCCGAGTAGGGGTGGGGGTGGGAGTGGGGTCACGCCATCCTTCTACTGGGTTGATCAACCTTAAGTCATGTTGAAAGTGGTGGTTCTGGAAGGAGCCGGGACTCTACACGCAAAACCGCTCTTTCCCGGCGGCTGCCGTGAAAGTGTTGAAGATGGCCCCGGCCGAAACGTCTGGGCATAGTATCCCGGCTCTTTCAGAGCACCCCTTAGTGTGGCACACAGACCATCGCTCAGAAGATGACGCAGGCTTTGTTCGAATATCAAGATATATAACCGATCTTTGAGCTAATACATTATACTTTTCACGCATTTCGACGACAGGACGCCGATGCACCAACGCTCCATTTAAGGCAGCACACACTTGTAATCCGGCGCAACGAAAACTATGCTATCGTGATCCATGGTTTACTTTTATGAGGCCTGACTCAGCGATAATTCCAGAGCATGCGCTTAACTCCATTTTAACTCCCACGCGTTGACTTTTCAGAGATATGGACCTAACTCATCCCAGGTGTGGTTGACTCATAACGTGCACTCATAACGTGAGAGCGGAACCGAATGCCTGTGGGTGACAGGGGCCAGTTCAGTTTCGAACGGCAGTAGCACACGACATTACCGGTGCGTGGATGGAAATTGCGGCATCATCGCTACGCCACGGCAATACCGATGTGCCGAAACGACTGCATACGACATTTTACCCCTGCTTGTGTGCCTGGGCGTGTGCACAGTGTGCCACGTGCACCAGCGGGGGCTTCGGATCTGACCATGGTGCCGACCAGGTACCGCAGGCAGGGGCGTCACTTCAT